CCCCCTTTCCCCTCCCCTCTACAGGGCTTGAGGCTACTATACCTAATTTTGGGACCAATAATGATATTTTGTTTATCATAAACTTCAAATTTTTCTTCTTCTTTATATGTCTCTCGTTTGTTTTGCATTTAAATGATTAAATGCTATTGTTTTTTGTAATTATTTTGATGTTATTAAATGCTTGAAAAACTTTTTACATTGAATAAAATTAAATTTCAAATATAACAAGCATTCAAGCCCTAACACCCTTTGTCCAAGGGAGGGGAGGGGCTTGATTTTTTTTCTTTAAAGGGGGCTCACCACCTTTTGGGGCCCAAAAACATGGCAAAACCAAAGATATCAACTAACTATTGCAAGGGAGGTAAGCCCCATAGCCCCCCCCCCCCCAGTGAGTACACCTCTATGCATATAAAAATGTCTCCTCAAAATATATAGATAGAAGTCTTCTTACCATAAGCTTTAAATGAATAATCTGGAAGCAATTTAAAATTCATAAATATACTTTTCAAAAACTACTATTATTTATAAACCCTATCTTACCTGGGCTAAAAGAAACCTTTCTCCCCCTCGCTTCTCCCTCAGGCACAGGGGTTATACTAAACATTGTTATCACAGATATACATCCAACCCTTGAACAGCGTTATGGCTAGGACAGGCTCTGTATGTGTCTATATGCTGAACTAACTAAGTATGGGAACATACTGTGAAAACCAGCTGAAATGTCTTCTTCTATTCTATATTTAAACTCAACCATTCATAAATATGAACTTTAAACTATTTGTTTAGTACGGACAAGGTGGACGTCTTGAATGAAGGCCCTGGCTTGGTGTTAGTTTCTATGAAACTGAAGGGAACTCGACGGCATGTCACAGCAGAGTGCAAACCGGGAACGGATAACAAGACTGAGTTTGGAAAATATTGCGACCCCTGCCGAGATTCCAAATATCGTTTCCGGACTCTAGCGTCGAACCAATACTACACAAACAGGGAACTAGAGAGTCCAAAGGAGAAGGGTCTTCTGTTTTGTTTACATTTTCTTCTGAACTCTGGTATTAGTTGAAATTTTAGAGTATAGCTACAAGCTGTATGGCGCCTAGGATAGGAACTCGCACAACAAACAATAAATGTCTAGATTTTTTAAAGTTTAACATTTTTAAATCATCATCTCTATTTTCAGTTTAGGGTTTTTATAATCTGTTCATGTCAACTCATTTTCTGTGCAAGTCCCTATTTTGTCTGTATCTAAAAATGTGTAAAAAATCAAACTTTATGATAAAAATAAATTATATCTAATGTACGAACATATATCTGTCTGTTATGTAAAGATAAACATGTAAGTGGTTTATTCACAATTTACAAAATATACGATTACTAAAGTGTACAAATCTCCTTCTCGGATTAACAGGGTGTTCCACAAAACATGATCAAGTTGGTGAATTATAGTTTCAAATATCTTCTTCCATTTCCTGTATTAGATATTAAACATTTTTTGCAGTTTATTTCATTAAAAAAAATCTGTTTCTCATATATATATCTTACTTTGGAATAAATTTTACTATAACATAACTGTCACATAGTTTTTTTATTATTCTCTTTGTTTGGTATCAACAAATGTCATAGTACATACATAAACTGAAAATATATGTACACTAGCTAAAGTAAAAGTAAAGTAAAAATAAAAGTACATGTAATAATTTCATTATATTACTTTATTACTATTATTTATCATTATTGTTTATATTTTTGTTGAATTATTATATTAATATTATATTACTATATTCTATCACTGTTCCAATTTGTTATTTCATCAATACTGTTTTTTTTTTAAATAAAGATATCTTATTTTTGTTGTTGTTGAATTATGACAAATTGCTATATTATTATTATTTAATTATTGTATGATTATTGAATTTTCTATATTATAATTATTTAATTACTATTAAATTAATCC